AAAGAGCTATGATAAATAAGGAAATACAGCTAAGCAGAATATATTCCTAACATAATTACAACCTAATTAACTCCTTTGATTAAGGAGAATCACTTATTTCCTACACTCCCCCTCAAGTTGGGCATCCAGTACTCCAATGCCTAACTTGCTAAGTGCTTCTTTAAAGGCCTCAGAGTTGACCGCTTTGGTCAAGATATCTGCCAGTTGATCTTTTGATCGAACAAATGGAAGTTCAACAATTCCCCCTTCTAATTTCTCTTTGATGAAGTGTCGATCAATTTCTACATGTTTCGTTCTATCATGTTGCACTGGATTTTCCGAAATCCTTATAGCTGCTTTGTTATCACAAAACAGTTTACATGCTGTCTTCTGAGGAAAGCCAAGTTCATTCATTAGCTTCCGAATCCATAGAATTTCAGTTATCCCTTTTGCAATTCCTCTGAATTCTGCTTCTGCGCTTGATAAGGCTACAACATTCTGCTTCTTACTTCTCCAAGTGACCAGATTTCCTCCTACCAAGGTAAAGTACCCTGAAGTCGATTTTCTACCATCCCGGTCTCCTGCCCAATCTGCATCAGTGTATGCAACTAAATCCAGGTTATCATTCTTGTCAAAGTAGATCCCAGTGGTGCTAGTATTTTTCAGGTATCTCAATATTCTCATTACAGCTGTCATGTGGTGAACTTGAGGCATATGCATAAATCTACTCACAACCCCTACTGCGTAGGCAATATCTGGCCTTGTGTGGGCTAGATAAATGAGTTTCCCTACAATCTTCTGATACTGTTCTCTGTTGGTTGCTTTCTCTCCTTCTAAGATTTGAAGTCCATGATTTGCAACAATCGGTGTTTCTGCTGGTTTACACCCTAACATTCCTGTTTCGGCCAATAGATCAAGTATATATTTCCTTTGATGAATAAAGATCCCTTGTTTAGATCTTAGTACTTCTATTCCTAGGAAATATTTCAGGTTACCCAAATCTTTCATTTCAAATTCCTGGAACAGTTTTTTCTTCAAATTAGTTATTTCTTCCTCATCGTCACCAGTAATGATCATATCATCCACATAGATGATTAAGCATGTGATTTTTCCCTTTGTTTTCTTCAAAAATAGAGTATGATCAGAGTTACTTTGAGAGTACCCAAAAACTTTCATGGCCTTTGTAAATCTCCCAAACCATGCCCTAGGAGATTGTTTTAAGCCATATAGAGCCTTCTTCAATCTGCACCCTTCTCCTACTTCAAATGTTTCAGCATATCCTGGGGGAGCTTCCATGTAGACTTCTTCAGCAAGGTTCCCGTGAAGGAAAGCGTTTTTTACATCGAATTGATAAAGAGGCCAATCTTGGTTTGCTGCAATAGAGAACAGAACCCGAATAGTATCTAATTTTGCTACTGGTGAAAAAGTCTCCGAATAGTCAATTCCATATGTCTGAGTGTAACCTTTTGCTACCAGCCTTGCTTTGTGTCTCTCAATTGTACCATCTGCCCGGTACTTCACAGTAAAAACCCACTTGCACCCCACAGTTCTTTTTCCCTTTGGGAGAACACATTTCTCCCAAGTTTCATTCTTCTCTAGAGCCAAGTATTCATCTTCCATAGCCTTTCTCCAATCCTTACTAGCAAGAGCTTCTTCCACTGTTTTAGGAATCTCAGTAGAGTATAGGGAAGCTGTAAATGCGATAGCATTACTGGCAAGATTCTCGTTGCTGATTTTTCCTATAGGATATCTGGATCGGGAATCCTCATATTCTGGATCATACCTCTTTGGAGGAACTCCTCTAGTTCTCCTAGGAGGTAACTCATATCTGTTCGGACAATTTTCACTAGGAACAACAGGATCAGTTATAGGTAAATCACAAAGGTCAGAATTTTCTGTGTTTACCTCACTTGATATAACTACATCCTCGGTTGGATGCTCAGTAGGTGAATCTGGTGTGGACTGAAGAGGAGATGAGGGAACTGTTACCTCTGGAGAAGCAACATCGGTGGTACTGTCTACTTGGGTTGTTGGATCCTCAAGGTCCATCACTTCTGGATATGTCAACCAGCTAAGGTCATCACTACTAGTCTCCCCCTGAGGACCAGGCTGGGTGTAATAATAGGATTTTTCAAAAAACTCACAGTCAAGGGTAGTGTGTATTTTCCTTGTAGTCGGATCATAGCATCGGTATCCTTTCTGGTGAACCCCATATCCGATAAAGACACATTTAATAGCCCTTGGTTCCAGTTTGTTTCTATAAATCTTTGGTAGGTGGACATATACAACACATCCAAACACTCTTGGTGGTAGGGAGTGAGAGGATGGGATGGTGGTGTGTGAAGAAAGGGTGTCAAGGGGAGTTTCGTAGTCAAGGGTTTTTGTGGGAAGTCTGTTTGTAAGGTATGTGGAGGTAGCTATGGCTTCAGGCCAAAGAAAAACAGGAACTCCCGATTCAATCATAATTGCCCTTGTAATTTCTAATAAAGTCCTGTTTTTCCTTTCTGCTACTCCATTTTGTTGAGGGGTATCACGACAGGATGTTTGGTGAACAAGTCCCTGGTCAGCAATATATTGTTCCATATCTAGGTTTATATATTCCCCCCCATTATCTGATCTAAGAATTTGTGGTTTTGCATTAAATTGGGTACGAATCATATTATAGTATTTAACAAATACATCAAATACTTCAGATTTGTGTTTCAAGAAATATACCCAACTCATACGAGTACAGTCATCCACAAATAAAACAAAGTATGAAAAATTATGGATTGCAAACTCTGGGGCAGGACCCCAAACATCTGAGTGAATAAGCATAAAAGGTTTGATAGCATGAGTCAAACTAGGAGAATAAGTATGTTTATGACTTTTGGCTAAGGCACACGATTCACAGTCCAAAGTTACATCAATGTTTTTAAAAGAAGGAAATAGTCGTTTAAGATAACCTACAGAAGGGTGACCTAGCCGGCGATGCCACATCCATAGTTGATATTCCGGGGACCCATGAGCAAGCAAAGCATTGCCGTGTTGAGTCGCCTCATCCAAGAAGTACAATCCTCCTCGTTCAGTACCACTCCCAATAATCCGTCCCGTCTGAGCTTCCTGTACCATACAACCAGAGGATGTTAGTAAAACAGTACAATCAAGTTCCTTAGTTAATTGACTAACAGATAAGAGTTTATGAGAAAGACTAGGAATTAAAAGACAGTCGTTTAAATGAATATTGGGTGAAACATCAACTTTTCCGGCTCGATCAATAGGAATTAATTCCCCATTAGCAGTTTGTATTTGGGTACGTTTAGTGGGATGGAAAGATATAAAGTCGGATGGGTCATAAGACATAGTGTCTGTTGCCCCACAATCTAAAATCCAGCCCATTGATTTACATAAGAGGCCCATATTTCCGGATTGGATAAATGAGTTTTCTGAATTTTTATCTGAATAAAAGGAATTTCTTGGTTGGGTTTCAATGTGGGTCGTGTGTTTTTGATGGGAATTAATAGGAGTTGAAATTGTGGGTTGTTTTATTGTGTGGGCCATAGGTTTTTGATGGAAATTCTTTGAGAAACCCTCAAATTCCTTTGCCTCCTCGTAAATAGTTTCTTTTCCAGAAACTTTCCCAAACCTTTCATCCTCTTCCGTCACTTTCCCTTTCTCTTTCATTGCTTCACCATGAAAATTGGCGATGAGGTTGATACCTGTACCTGTTGATTTTCCGGGTGTGTTTTTGGTTGTGGGTGAGCTTCCATCGTCACCGTTGATTTCCCTTTCAGAAGCAACAAAATTTGCCTTGCCACCGGTCCGGTTTCCGGTAGCCTTGGCGGCGGCTTTTCGTTGTCTCAATTCGTCCCACCACTCAGGGTAACCGATGAGTTTAAAACACCCACTCTTGGTGTGTTTGGTTCCCCCGCAGTGGCTGCATTTTAACATCGTCTTGTCTTCTAACCGGGATGACTTTTCCGACCGGTTTTGCGCCACCAAGCCACTCCCAATTTCTGAGGGACTCTGTCCCGATGATGAGTCGCCGGTCATTATGCCGCGACGGGCAATTTCCCGTCGAATTGTAGCATAAGCGGCATCTAGGGTTGGGAGTGGGTCTAAATACAGTAAATCCCTTTTCTCTTTGTCCAAAGAATTATCAATTCCGGCTAGGAATTGATAAAGCCGTTGTCTCTGAATGAAAGAATTGAACAGAGTAATGTCCTCTGAACATTTCATCGGATTTGGCATTCGTCTGTCAATTTCCTTCCATAATATATTCAGTTTACTGAAATACATTTCTATGGTGTCTCTCCCTTGTTTAATTGATGCTGCCTTCAAGTTCAGATCATAGATTTGAAGTTCGTCTCTCCCACTACTCAAGAGAGTCTCTATTCCTTTCCAGAGATCTCTGGAAGTTTTATAATCAAGGAATTGATTAACTAGATCTCCGTCGATATTCTCGATTATCCACGAGAACACTATTGAGTCCCGTTGGGCCCATTGGGCGTATTCTGGGTTGTCTGATGTTAAAGGGTTGCCTGTGATGTGGTCGAGTCTTCCTCGGCCACCAATTGCAATTTGCATCAACTTACACCATTTGGTGTAATTTGTGTAATTGAGTTTTTCTGAAATACGCACACTTTGTGCATTTCCAGATTCTGGGTTGATTGGGTTTTTGTTTAATTTTTGAAACATCTGGAACATTTGTTCCATCTGCTCTATTGAAATCAGTTTTTTGTTGTCGTCCGGTGAGTCCCCCATTTTAAGGTAACCTTCCGGTAGATGATGAGACTAAATAGGTTTCGGTTTCCCGAAGATCGGAACCTTACGGCTCTGATACCATGTGTAAAATAAGCGGAATTGTGTTTTTGGTTTTCAATTTCTGTCCGTTTATTACTCTTGGTTATCATTACATTTATACACAAAGAGCTATGATAAATAAGGAAATACAGCTAAGCAGAATATATTCCTAACATAATTACAACCTAATTAACTCCTTTGATTAAGGAGAATCACTTATTTCCTACAACTTGCAAGTTGCAATTATTCAATTTTACTCGTTTTCAAACCCTAGGTTATAGATTTTGTTGAATTTCTATTTGTACAATTAATCTCTTAGTTTCTAGATATTTTCTTATACATTAGTGATTTACTGGATTGCTAATTTCATTTTTTTGGATCTATTTCTTTACATGTAAAACTTGACATTGATTTTGTTACTCCATTCTTTTAGAGTTTTAGAGTTATTGGTTGGACCAAAGCAGAGTTTGGACCTCGAATAGAAGAAAAAGAAGGGGTTTCTTAAACCAAAGATCACCTTCTCATTATATTCCATGAAAATGGTGGGCAGTAGAATCGTCGAGCCTCTAACAGCAAGGGCGAATATTGCTGAATGTATGTCTCTTTGAGATTTGCAGTTTATAAAATTGATATGAATTTTTTATTTCTTTTTTATTGCTTTGATGTGATTTATTATGGGTGATTTCTCAACTTATTAGGCTATTAGCTGAGATGAATTCATTTTTCTGGGTAATAAGAGTTCTTGATGTTAGTTTTTTTCAATTGCAGAATTATTTCAGATATAGAGTTAGTTTCTAAAATACTCAGCTTCATAATTTTAATTATATTGATTTGCATTAATTTTGTTCAAATATTGCTTTTGTTTAACCAAATCAACAGTTAATATAGCAGTTACCTCTGTTGTTGTGGTGCCTAGTTCACAAAACATGCCTTTTGTGCATAATAATTGAATAAGTGGCTTCAGTTCTTTACCACTAGTTTGTAAGTTTAATTTGTTCGGTAGAAATGTTCTCATGAAAGTCCAATTTGCAACTACATACTAACAACCAATTAATAAGCTCAGAGAGATTATCTTTGCAGACATACACACCATAATTAAATAAGGCTCCCTTTTTCAGTCCGTTGATGTTGTGTATGTGTCTATGATATGTGTGCAGCATGACGCTGTCATTCTCAAGTGTATATATATTGCATATCATGATTTGTTGACCATGATTGGTTATGACTTAAGATGAAGAATAGTTTAACAAAGAATCAGGAGGGGGGGAAAAATTAAGAAGGCTTTTCTAAATAATCTATTTCCTCAAAAGTTATAGATGCTTGACATTAATGAATTCTTATGTTTGTGTTTTCAAATAATCTTTTGCTGCTAGGTGGATATGGATCAAGTAACAATGCTGGACAAGGTTCTCAATCTGAAGGAGATTCGTCAAACACAACTGTAATAGACTTTCTAGAGTAATTTATTATAGTTAATAGATTAATTTGTTTTTTTTTTTGTCTTTCAATTATGAATCTATCTTTTTATTATTGTAGATTTTTGTTGGAGGGCTTGATCCTAGTTCATAAACGAGGATCTTAGGCAACCTTTCTCTCAATATGGGGAGATATTTTATGTTAAAATTCCAGTATGGAAAGGATGCGGATTTGTGCGATTTGCGAACAGGTGAGGCTTATACCATGCTCTGAAACAAAATTTGATGATCTGATCTCTCATTAGATTGCTTACATTATAACTGTGGATTGTATCACCTTCAGAGGTCATGCTGAAGAGGCTTTGAATAAGCTAAACGGGTCAGTTATAGGAAAGCAAATTGTCTGTCTTTCATGGGGCCGCTACCCTACAAACAAACAGGTATATTTTCTCTACTGTCTATGTTTGTTTCTTGTTTAGATTTAAGGTTTTTGTGATTCTATTTTCTGCCTTGAACTGTGATTCTATGCTAAATAACACTTCATTTATACGGATGGCAGTCAAGAGGTGACTATGGAAATATGTGGAATGGAGGCTACTACGGAGGACACATATATGGTGGTGGTAACGGATACGTACCACACCCCCATGACCAAAGCATGTATGCAGCAGCGGCAGCAGCTTACTGAGCCTACCTTGTATACGACAATCAGCAACAAGTAAGCTGATGACAAAGACACGAAAAAAGAAGTAGCGCGCATGAGGAGAAGCCTCAAGATTATCGATAAGCGTTTCGTATAGCACTACCTAGGCATATTGTTTCATTCTTTGTAGTGTGAGCCTGTTGTGTAGAAATATTTATGAACCCCTCCCCCTCCTAATGTGGAGTGGAACTGAATTTTGATAGCTCCCAAGGTAGTTTTTCTTACTAATTTCCTTTTTTTTTTCCCTATTATTCTATTATATTAGACATTCATTGAGGACAAGTTAAGAATGATATGGGGAACTTTCTCCTTAAAATATATGATGCTTGCATATCTTTATATGTTTGTTGGCTACTATACTGCTGGTTTGTTGCAATTTATAGCTGTTTGATGTTGTTGCAGCCGTAGATTTGTATGAAGATTTTTTAACTTGGTGTCAAAGATCAGAAATTGTTCAGCGCCCCTGATGGATCGTTTGATGCTGAATTAGAGATTTGTTTGAAATTTCTAGTTGAGAGTTACAATTCACATGTGGTTTAAGACAAGCCAAAGTTTATTAAGGTACGATTTTCATTGCATCAAACATCAATATATTCATAATCTTGTCTGATTTTGTTATGGTTGAGTAATTGACAGTGAAAATGCAATTGTACATGGGTTGAATATCTTATTTATTAGATACAAATGAAGCCAAAGTAGAACATAATTTAAAACCTCCTATAGAAAGCTAAACCCATGGGTTCCCTCTTTCAATAATTGACTGACTTTGGAATTGAGTGTTATTGGCTAGCTTCTGTGATTAATGTGATCAAATCTGTTTTTGCATATAACTTTCATTTGGGAGTTAAAAATATGAGCTACAATGTACTCTGCCTTTTTTGAGGATTCTTTATCATTCTTAAGCTGTAACCTACATCTTTAAATGTGCAAAAAATTTGCTAGCTTTATGCTAGACACTAACTGACTATAATTTTTTTTTTTTATGTTTTGCTGTTCATTTTACTGTTTTTTAAAGGGTGGATAATTAGTTCTAGTGAACATTGAATACATAAGATGTGTGTGAAATTCAGAGCTTGTATGTGTGTGTATAAGCGTCGATTATCCTTTTTATTGGTATTGTAATTTTTAATAGATTTCTTTAGTAGATCACTTTATGCCAATGCCCCATTTTGCTTTTCATTCTATTGGGGGTGAGAGGTTGGCATGAGGGATGTCAACAGGAAGCTATAGAATTTTGGTTTTCTGCAAGTGTGAAGCATTCTTTGTTAGAGAGGAATTGAAGAGGAAGGAAAACTATGCAATTCAGACATGTGAAAACTGGACTTTCTGATGACACCTCTTTCTTTCATATCTGCATGTAAAGCTCTATACATACGGAATGCCTCCCTCAGTCAACCAGGCAGTTTTATACACTTTGTTACTTCTAGTGGTTTTAAGATGGGTATTTGTGAACTTCTGATGGGTTTTTTTACTAGAAAGTAGTTTATTGTTTCTTGAATGAGGGATAATATTGTTGTTGGCTTTAGCAAAATGAGTAGAGGGCAGCGTGGATTTATGCCATTTATCTGTCGATAAAGCAGAATCATCTTGGTACAACAAGAATATCTGGCATTACCTAGCTGTAATAGCTATACTTGGATATAACTTGATCCTCAATTGTGAGTGAAGGCTAGTTCTTAATATGCTCTCAAAGTTGTATGTAGTTTTCTCAGCATGTGTATGTTCTGGTTTAAATATTGGTCTTTTCATTGTTGTTTAAATACAACATGTTGAATCTTGAGCCTATATTTTGTAATTTACTAATTTATACTTTGTATTTTTTATTTTTTTTAAAGATTGGAAAAAGCAATGTAGGTGCAGCAAGAGAATAGGCCAGGACAGTTGAGCATCAAAACAAGCGACTATATCGTCTATAAGGCCATCATCTATCTATTTTGGTTTTTAGTCTTATATTAGTTATTTAGGGACAAGCTACTATAATATGCGACGTTTTTTTTTTTTGTTTTTTTTTATTATTATTAATTGTGTTGATGTTTTCTTTTGTAAATTTTGTAATTAACTACGTACTCTTATTGTTGTTGATTAATTATTGTTTTATTATTTTTTAAATATAGTTATGATATTTGTTTATTTTAATTTTAATGTTATTAATTTAATTTATGATAAATTTAAATAACTATAATGTATATATGATGGTAATAATTTAGTAAAAGGAAAAAAAAAGCTTAAAAAAAATTCTAGACGCTTTTTTATGTCTACATTTTTTCATATTTCAAGATTTTCCCGTCAAACCATAGCCTGACACGAATAAGCGCAAGACAACAAAAAGCGTCGCTAAATTTGAGTATGTGGATAATGCGCAAAATAAGTATTTTTCGACACTTCGTATATTAGTTAGGACACATAAAAGCGTCGATATTCTCGACGCTTTTTTGTGTCCCTCCAAATTCTCGACTCACGTATTTTCGACGCTTTTTAGCAGCGTCGAGAAATATTTTTTCGACGCTTTTTAGCATCGAAAAAAGGCCTAAAAGGCATCCAAAAAACACGTTTTTTGTAGTATTTGCAACAAATTTGTGCGAATTCGGTTGAGAAACGAACAAGAACGAACAAATCGAAGTTCTAAGCGAATTCTCGAGCAAAAACGAGCAGCAGCAGCAGCGAAAATGAAGAAGAAAGGGGTATTTATGAAAAACGAGCGACAAGCCTAGTGCCAGCGTCTGGCGCTAGAGCCATATATGTGGCGCTAGCATCATTTTAGCGATGACAGACTGTTAAGCCACTCAGTGCGGTTGTTCAAACCTCTTGCAATATTTTTGGTTCCTTGGTACGCCAGTTAGCCCATCTGAGCAATTTGACATGATCTAGTAATCAGCTCGATTACAATTACATTAAGTGATCGACCTGATGAATGATCGTCTCATTTAGCTTAAAGCACCTAAGCATTGGCTCATCAGAAGGCACCGACATACTGGTTCAAAATTTAGTATAAGGACATATTGGTTCAAAATTCAACAAAAGGCACCAACATACAAGTTCAAAAGCAGCAAAAGCACCAACGTACAGGTATAGCGGAAGCAAAGTTCAAGCGAGCTTTTCAAGATCGACAAGCGTGGGTCTTCGGTAATTTTCCTCACGAATATTATCGCAACAAATGAGGATAGCTTCAAGAGAGGATATCTTCGGAAGCGTTCCCTAGTGCAGGTGTCGTTTGAAGTGCGCCTACATTAAAGCATGTGTGAATATGCTTGGCACTCATGGAAGTGGGAACTGACATAATACGATTAGGGACAAATAAAGTAGGGAGCCGCCAACAAGTTTTCGAGGAACTTGTAAACCATTCACGGATCGTTAAAAGGCAACCACGATAAGGGACAACGATAGGCAACAACGATTGACCCGTGAAGGTTACACCCCATTCATAATCCATGAGATTACTAACTCCATATGGTTCGAAACCACAAAATGAGGATCGGGGATGATGGTACGAAGTGTGTCATGGAGTCACATTTGCCCGTATTGGCCTCTACTCGATTCTTATAGTGAAAAGTGATTCCTGCGATCTCAAAGGCATACAAACATTAATTCAATTCGCTCCAAACTATTATTAAGCTAAATTGGTTTAATATTAGTGCAACACATAATTATAAAATATTATGATCACTTGAATTAATAACAAGATTAAAAAGGAACCTAAACTGGTTGTCCAAATTATCTTATTAGGCGTGATTTTCAATTACATATTCCCTTTAACATGCAATGTGGTGATCATAATAATAATAGAATACACATTAATATTGGAAGCAATTTAACAATAATTCCGACAATATAAAATCGGAAGAAAAAAATAGAAATAAAAGGAACATAATTCTTACTTTGATTCTGTTTGCTTGCAACTACAAACTAATAAACGAATTAGTAACTTCAAGGAAATAATAATAAAACAATAATTAAATTATATTAAATAAAGTAGAGTTGATTTGGGGAAAAACCCTCAAACAATTCTACCTCTCACGCCTTAGCTTAAGGACAGAACTACGAGTAAAGTTTTGACTCTTGGGAGTGCTTGAAGAAGGAATTTTGAAAGAAGAAGGGTAGGCTAGTGTTTAGGCTAGAGCATAGGAGGGAGAAAAAATAGAGAATTAATTGATGCCCCGTACATCAGAAATGAGGGGGTATTCATAGAAAAAATGTGCTGAGGGAACACACGGAACCCTAAAATGATAAAAACCCTAAAAAAAGTATACCGCGACACGGAAAAGTGTACCGTGACACGGGAAATACCACCGTCAGACAGGAAACATTCCCGTGACACGGTGTACTTTTGCGTGACGCGGGAAATATCTAGTGAACGGGGGGAGAAAACGCGTTAAGGGTTTACGCGGAAAGGACATGGAAACCCCCATGTCACAGCAGGTATCCCGTGTCACGAGAAACCCTAACGTCAGACGGGAAATTTTCCCCTGACACGGTGGACTGTTGCCGTGACGCGGGAGTTTTCAGTCCGCTTTTCCGTCTAAATTTATTTTTAACCCTAATTTTGTTCAGCCTTTTAAGTGCCGATTGATAATTTCGGGCCATATCTGTTTTTATTATTATTTGGGCTAACATAATATAACAATAAAATAAATTTTTTTGGGCTTAAATTAAAAACTATGATTTGACTAAACATCAAGACTGATCCACAGACTATTCAAAAATTGAATTTAATTAAATACGATTTTTTTAAAGCACTCTCGGGATTGAATACTGAACCCGACCAATAGTGGCAGTGAAAGGTTGTTCATCATCGGATTTTGTTTTGGGCAGACATTTTTAGGTGTCTACAGAAGCCTGCACTTTGACTGAGTTTGTAGAAACGTCAGTTTTGAAAACGATAGTCAAAGTAGCCGATAGGGACGAAAAATGATTTAAGACATTATGCGATCATAAATCACTCTGTATACGCCGATACCGACAGAAAAATGTTAATTCCACAGATAAAAGAGTGAAAGGATAGAATATGTATCTGGCACTAGTGTATCGTTGACAAATGAGTTTGACATCTTCCTATGCTTCAAGGAATCCACCGGATGACATTTGTTGAAACGCTTTCCATGCCTAAGGAAAGCTGACTGAGGAATTTGGTAGCTTTCTAAGCCTGAAGAAACCTACCGGATGACACTTCCATGCCTAAAGAAAGTCAATGCATGAATTTGATGTCATTCTATGCTTGAGGAAATCCACCGATAACGCTTTCCATGCTTGAGGAAATCCGACTTGGCGGTTTTCTATACGTGAAGAAAAATCCACCGATAACGCTTTCCATGCTTGAGGAAAGCCAACCTGGCGGTTTTCTATACTTGGAGAAAAATCTACCAATAACGCTTTCCACGCTTGAGGAAAGCCGACAACTATTGTAATCGCTGAAATTTGCAAGTGTATGATGGTTCGATTATCCCCGAACGTGGGCCACAGAAGTTCACACCTTTAAGTCGACTATCCGACCATATTAGGTGTTTAAAACGTCGGCAAATTGACTTTGATGCTTACTGGGGCAAAATAGTAATTTTTATACTCTTTCAACGTCAGTTAAAATTTTCCGCGTAATTTACTAACTGTCCAATTTGTATGGAAAATTGCGCAATTTTAGTCAAATTGCCAGGAATATTTGGTGACAGCTTCAAGGAACGTGCAGGACACGCGCGAGACCACTGTGTCACGAAGTAGAATTCCCGTGACACGGAAGGGATCCCCGTCATACGAAATAAATTACAGTGACACGGGAAATCTCGTGGTTGCAAATCAGTCAACTGGCATCTTTGATCAGTCCAGAGCACATGCGCCACGTCAATATGTTATCGTTACATGGTAACGGAAACCGTCGCACGGGAAACGGGATGTAACGAGATACTTTTTTTGTCTTTAAATTCGAGCTACTCTTCACCATTTCTGCCATTTTCTTGCTACTTCTGCTCTTCCTCTTCTCCATTTTTTTATTTTAAGATTCTCAAATCACCGAGCCACGACAAGGATACACCAGCACACAACTTTGTTTCCCGTCAGACAGAGTTCCGTCCCGCGACACGGCGGTTCTGCTGGGTTTTTTTTTCTTTTTTTTCTTTTTATTTTTTCGCTACTGCTCGTTGCTGCTGCTGCTGCTGTTCAGAGCTCGTTGCTGCTGATCGGAGCTCCGTCGACTCATAGAATCACCGTGACACGGGACTTCATCACCGTGACACGGGATATTATTACCGTGTCGCGGCTTAGGCGGACCGTATCACGGCGGCTTGCTCTGTTGTCTTCGCGGTTTTTCGAGTTTTGGAGCTCAAATATTCATCAATTTTGCTCTAAATTTTTGCTACTTTCTTCATTTTTGGTTCTCCACAAGGATCCATGTAAGTTTCTTTTGATTTTTTTTGTCTCGAATTTGCTTCAAATGAGTAATTTCATGAAAAAAAACCCTTAAAAATCAATTTGGGGATTTTTTGATTTTGAGGTTTATGTTGAAATTCTTGCCATGAATTTACTTGTGTATGTATGTATGTATGTGTGTTTGTGAGCGATTTGAGACAAAAATTGCATGATTTGGTGAAGAATTGAGCAAATCACCATTTTTTGTACTACTTGTGGGAAATGGTGTTCTTGTTGTTCATATTGTTCTTTGCACTTTAAATGATGACATATTGGTTGTAGATCTTGTAAAATATGCCATGATGCGTCGATCTATTGTTTTCGTGCAATTTTGAAGCATGTTTTGTGTTGTGTATGTACTACATTGTCATGAAGAACATAGTATCATGCAACTAGGAGAACATAGTATTAGTTCGTCATGGAGAAACTAAATACTATAAATAATTCCATTATTTTGTTAATTTTTAGCCTTGAGGTAAAAATTTAGCGTATAATAGAAAATGCAATAAATAACTAAATAACTTAGGAAATGATGCTAAGCATTTTGGTTTTTATTAAAATGCAACTCGATATAAATAACTAAATACCTTAGGAAATGATGCTAAGCA